AGTGAAAGTGAAGTTGCTCAGTTGTGTCCAACTCTTTGCAACCACATGGACTGTAGCCTTCCAGGTTCCTCTCTCCATGGGCTTCTCCAGGCAAGAATACTGGAGTAGGTTGCCATTTTCTTCTCCAGGAGATCTTCCCAACCCAGGGATCGAACCTGGGTCTCCCGCATTGCAGGCAGGTGCTTTACCCTCTGAGCCACCAGGGAAGCCCCTAAAAAAAGAAGGAGGCAGACTATAAATGCTGATCAAACTCATTGTGTGGAGAATGTTCTAACAGACCTTCTATTTTGAAGAGGGACAGACGGGAATGAGGCGGCATGATTGTCCTCTGCAATACACACTGAGAAGTCTGTGGACCACTAATTAGAAATTGCAATTAAAAATAAAAGAACTCTAAAGCCAGGTGATGACATTTCCTATCTAGAAATCTTTGAGACTGGAGAGACATCATTCTGGAATTCAGGCTGGAGGATGGCTAGATAAATGTCCCTGGTTCTAGCCCCGTTTTTGCTCTCGGTCTTACTTGTCTGATGAGGGGCATAGGTCAGTAATTTTCCTGTGTCTCTGGAAAGCACGTGTAGTCTTTCCATCCAATGAAAGTGCCTGTAAGCATTGATAATGTGCTTAGAGTCCTTGGGTCCAGAGTCTTTCTGAACAAGTGGCAAAATGAGAATAATATATTCTTTATGATAAAACTAAAGTGTCTTTCATTACCTATTAAAAGAAAACCATTTGCTCTTCTCCATAAAACACCTGACACCTGGTTGGCAGAGAGCTTTCACCTGGTGGAGGCTGAAAGCAAGTAGTGGGAAAAGGAGGGGGTGGAGTTACAGAGATGATGATGGCCAAGGCAAAACCTTTCCATCCCACCTGGCTACCCCCAACTCATCTAAGCAGATTAAGTACCCAAACTTAGGTGAAGCTTTTTTTTTTTTTTTTGGTGGTGTTGTTTAATTGCTAAGTTGTGTCCGACTCTGCGACCCCATGGATTGCAGCCCACCAAGCTCCTCTGTCCTTGGGATTTTCCAGGCAAGAATACTGGAGTGGGTTGCCATTTCTTTCTCCAAGGGATCGTCCCAACCCAGCGATCGAACCCACGTTTCCTGCTTAGCAGGCAGATTCTTTACCATCTGAGCCGCCTGGGAAGCCCAGGCCACCCTCAAGATGACTGCAAACAATCCAAGCATGATGCCAGTGTTTAATCAGAAGGCACACATTTTAGATCTCCCCAGTTCTGAAGTGGGCAAAAAAATATTTTTAGGCATTCTTTTCTCCCTTAAGTCTGTTGTGGCTTGAAAATGTTGAGGTGCCATTTTTGCTATAACTGCCTTGCGAGGATTCAGTTTGGTGACCACTTTTGCTTCGGATTGACTTTTGCTTATTCAGAGAGTCATGGAATCATCATACATGTTATCTGTTAGGGTGGGAAGGGATCTTAGAGACCATCTAGTTCAATCTTCCTTTTTATAAGGTGCTTCCTAGTCAGACTTCAAATTCAGGTGATCTAACTCCACGGGAATGTGTTTTATGGTTGGAAAACCTTCTCTGTCATCCAGACATTCTCACTAAAGAGGCTGGAAGGCCACCTCTAGGGACTGGTGTAGGCGAAAATAATTGAAGTATGAACTGAGATAGATTCACTGCTCAAGTTTTAGAATTCTGTTGAAAACGAATGAACTTACACTTACCTTAACTCCATCAGAAAAGAATTCCAAGGCAATATAGCAATTGACTTTCCCTTTCTCCTTTGCAGCTCCTACCAACATAAGCAGGATTTACATTTTCCTATTTTACAGATCCAGCTGGCAAGAATCAGGGATGGGAGAACAGCTAACTCATAAAGAGGTCCTGATGGATAACCTCAGACCACTCAGACCTTGGACAGAAGAATGGGCCCCTTGGTCCACAGAGCCACACTTTATTTACCCCGGGGCTGGCATTATGGGCATTTGCTTTCTTAGTGAATTGTAATTACTTGCAAAATAAACCTCATTTTGTGTGGGATTCTTCTGTTCTGAGAGCCCTATATGTAAGAGTGTTGCTGGGGTCTCTTGAACATCTGAGGTCGGTGGCACCTTGGAATGCAGTCTGAATCCCAAGAGTATTCCTATGATTTTTGCTCACAGGTCCTAAGGCACTGTTGGGAAGGATTCCAGTTTTACCTTCTCTTAGTGGGCTTTTCAGGTGGTGCTGGTAGTAAGGAATCTGCCTGCCGAGGCAGGAGATGCGGTTTCTATCCCTGGGTTGGGAAGATCCCCTGTGGGAGGGCATGGCAACCCACTCCAGTATTCTTGCCTGGAAAATCCCATGGACAGAGGAACCTGGTGGGCTACAGTCCATGGGGGTCACAGAATCGGACATGACTTGAAGCAACTTGGCATGCACGAATGAAAAAGCTGATGAAGTTATGTTTATTTTGTATGCGCCCCCCGGGCTGCTTATGAACCACTTCATACAGATGAAATCACCCAGCTGCTCTCCCCTCCCACTGCTCCCTCCCCTTCCATGAGTTACCCCCAAGGACTGAAAGCACTGAGGTGACTTGATTGTGTGTTTGGGCCACTAAGGAGATGTGCCTTCGGCTGCAAATCCTTCACGAGCCCCCTGTGACCTTTGGCAGCAAGGGGCTCTCATGTGACGCTTCTGACTGTGGGTATGGAAGTACCAATGGTCATCAAGCCTTGACATCTCTCCTTGTTCCCATGACTGGCCCTGTGGCTCTCTGAAATGGTCAGGGAGTTTCTGGGGTCCACCAAACGGGACCAGTCAGCTGTAGACACACTATAGAAAACATGGCCTTGAGTCTTAGCATACAGTCTATTTAACCTGACAGTAGTAAAAGGATGTATGATGTTGGATGAAATCCCAACAGGGGCCACATAGCTGGGTGGAGGTGCCGGGTCCCTGAGCATGGATCTGAGTAAATGAGGATGGAAGAGGATGCGGCCTGTCGTGTCCTGGATGGCTCCCATCCCATCCACTTTTCAACATTACTGAAAGCTCGTTAGCAGGGGAAACGATTACCAAACTGATGATTATTTTCTTTCTATTTCTGGCTCTTCTCAACCAAAGGGAAAATGTGAGGTAGATGTGAAATCTAAGGGGAAAAAATACATACACAAAATGAGATGTCATGTCTGCCTGTGGTGCTAGCAAAAAGTGAAGAAGTCTGACTTATTTTAATGTTTTCAATAAACACCAACCATCCCCCAACACAACTGAGTATTTGAATCAAGGGAGAGAAGATTATTCAGTCACCTAAGACAGTTACTGGATGAAAACATGAAGGGGAGTATAGTGTCTGATTAATGATTGGCCATTTTCAAAGTGGCTTCTCCTACATTATCTCATTTTATAAAAAGTCAATTTCACCTTTTAAATGTTAAAGTGAAGCAGTTTGTAATTTCTTGCAAGTAAAGGATGTTAATAAGCAAGTTGTGAACCAGCAAATTCTTCTGCTGCCTTGTATTTTTCATCGACCATCACAGATTCACGGGGAAGCTCTAACAGAACTTTAAAATGGGGTTTTAAAACATTGTTTGCATTTGTCAGTGTGCTTGCTTGCTTGCTGTCACTTTCGCTTGCTCTCTCTTTCTTTGGGGCTCAGTTTCTTTCTCCAGTACCTTCCTATGAATGGGGAACTAGTACTTGCATTTGGATAGATTATTATTTAGCTTATAAAACATACCACTTATTACAGTTCTTATAGTCACTAGGCTTCATTAAGACAAACAATTACTCATCTGTAGTCCCCTCTTTGGCCATGGGATCAATAAGATGCTGTGAAGCAGGAGAGGATAAGGCTGGTGTACACTTTCCAATGTCACTAAGTATTTTCTGGAAGGAGCCCACTTGCAGCTGTACTGATGGATGAGACGGTCTCAATACCAATGACCTTGAATGATTTACATAATAGCAGTTTGCATTAGAACCATGGCTATTCAAGACTTGCATTTTGCAACACTTGTAACTAGCAGTGACTACTTCCTAGGGCTTTCCTTGTGGCTCAGACAGTAAAGAATCTGTCTGCAGTGCAGGAGATCTGTTTGATCCCTGGGTTTGGAAGTTCCCCTGGAGAAAGGAATGGCAACCCACTCCAGTATTCTTGCCTGGAGAATTCATGGCTAGAGGAGCCTGGTGGGCTACAGTCCACGGGGTCGCAAAGAGTCAGACATGACTTGGCGACTAAACTTACCTAAAATACACTGAAATTCGAATATCAGAACAGAGCAAGACAAAACTCAGATTAACAAGTAGCCAAGAATGGCACCCAAGAAAGAAAAAGAAACAAGAGTATAGCCAACCTTTTTTTTTTTAATTAGAGTATATTATACTTCCAAACTGGATACACTAGAAATTGGCAATGCAACATAAGATGCAAAGGAATATACCAGTTACTGTCAAAATGACCCTGTACAGCCTTGTAATGCAAAAAGCTTTATACAATACAAATTTTCAGTAATGTACATAAACCTTGACAGTATGATCATCTGAACATAATACGAGGAGTTAAAAAAAGGAGAGAAGAAAGTGCCGAGAACTCTAACTGTATCACTATATGGAAAAATAAGCTAGCTTTCATTGAAGAATGCATAGTGAAAACAGAATCAAAGTTAGTTGGCAGGTGACTATCTCAAAGACATTAGTGTTTTATGCGGAAAGGATATCTATGGAATACATCCTTCCCTGAGTATCAAACTGCAAACCAAATTCAGGGGTATGTATTATTTCAGTGGAATCTGAAAAATGCTGTAGATTTTTCTTTATTAATAACAATAATAATAATATAAAAAGTCAAACAAACTCCAAACACACCTTTTCTCACTCAGAAAACTTTTATAATTTACCAGAAAGATTGATGACTCTTTCCAAAGTGCTAAAAAAGTTGCCCAATTACATTAAGCATCACTAAGTCATTCAAATACAAGTTCAGTGGCACACATCTGAGCGGTAACCGTCTCCTTCCAACGCCCCTCTTGATCTTGAATGTTTTACCCTAGGACCTCGTATTGCACAAGTGGCACGCTGTGAAATCCGCCGTCCCGTCAGGGCCACCCTTCAGGTTTTTAACCTGCCGTGGCTCACGTGGGGCTCGCCCTCCTGCCAGGCTCTGTGGGTCCCCATGGCCCTCCTTCCTGTCATCACTGAACTTGTAATTGTGAAAAGCACGTGATTAGCCAAGTGGCACATTCTCCATTACATGGGGGTAAAGACGTGACTTGAAAAAAACACCAACCCACCCACAAGCCCAGTATTCTTGGAGTGTATTGTCCATACCTGTCTACAGCGCCTTTGCCCGAGGCACTGTATGCCATGTCTGACCGAGGCGACGGGGTATGACATGCCAAACATGGCCAGGAACAGACATCTCTGCTGCAGAGGGACCCAGGGTGCGGGAGCTTCCCGCCCTCGCTGGCTCAACCTCCCTGCCCCCCGGGGACAACTCCGTAGTGTAAACAGGTTTGCCAGGGCTGGATGACTGGCAAGGGAAGCGCAGCACACCTGCTGGGTCTGGGGGAGGAAGGGTGGGTGTGGGCAGGACCGTGGTGTGGACAGAGGTACAGACTTCCGGCTTCCTGTAGAACTGTACAAGAGGGAGCTTTCGGTGAAGCAAACCCGCTAGAGGAAGAAAATTCGGGATGCTTTTATTTCCCTCCGGATGAAACAGATGGGGAAAAAAAAAAATCCCACCTCTAGGGTAACACATGATGGAAAACAGCAATGCAGTAAGAAAGCATTCCTCCTGTACACCGGTTCTTCAACAGATAAATAATATATAAACTTTTATATTCCAAACTTCCCATTATCATACAAAGCACATTTCTTCCTGCTCTTTTAGCCTGTTTCATACTGGAAATTCTGTTGTCTTAAAAATACAAGCCATTAACATGTTTCGCCAAAGATTCTTTCCTTCTTTTTACATCACCCCTGACTTTTTAAGAAGAGCGAGGGGTTGTACAACCAATCCACACCTGCTTCTTGCTGCAATAAAGTGCTGCACATAAGTTGCCATTTTAATGACCACAAAATAAGAGCTTTAAATAAGTATAAAGTTAGCCTCCTAGCAGGTTATATCTACCAGGCGTTAACAAAATGGAATATAGAATTACTAATAACATGGAGAACACCGCTATAGCCAGACAATTTGCAAACACAATGGAAATGTCTCAGGGGCATAAACTGAATGGTAGGACTAAACAGCACCTTTTTGTTGGGTTGTTATATGTCAAAGAGGTTATGACAGAAGTTTCAAACATACAGTCTACTCATTCCATAAAAAAGGTACATTTTCTTCCTTTTAGTTTACTTTTTTTTGCAGATGAGAAACAAAAACTAGTGCAAGACCAAAGCACTGTGCAAAACTGCCGTTTCTTTTTTTTTTTTTTTTTTTAGTCTGAGCATTTATACCCAGAATCTATCCAAACCCCTTTTAATCTCCTTGGCTGGATTTATCAACCATAAAAATTTTCACTCATACATTTTTTTTTTCTTTTCCTGCAAACAAATGGTAACCACTGACTTAATACATCACATATATATATATATTTTTTTAATCTGCCCTTAAAAAATGATGCACTGTGTGTGTACCATACACATTGCATACGTATGGGCACACACACAAATCACACTTGAGTTTTGTGATGTTGGCTGCAGTGCTGCAAGCTATTTCTTCTAGGTAGGGGCTCTCGATTGCTCTCTTCATAACCAGAGATGCGAGCACAAGATCTCCAGGGCTCTGGCGAAATTGCAGGCAGCACTGAGCTGTCTACCATTCCTTCATCGAGTAAGCACCAGGCCCTACCACTCTGCAGCCACAAAACAGAGAGGGGAAAGGTGATGAAGGAGCTCCGGGAGCGACTGCAGCACATGAACCACCCAGGAGGGCAAACCACGTTCATCACTGCGAAAGAAGCCAGTACAGAGGAGGTGCAAATGTCATGGCACACGACACACGCTGTCTCTTTCCGAATCCACAAACGCCCACATGCCCCACTCGCCCAACAGAAAACAAAATGCACCGGTATGGAAGCTTACAAGTGCTGATTGCTATTAAGGACACTCTCTTTAGGGTTTAACAAGACAGGTTTCCTTTCAAAGGAGAAGGGCCGAGAGTGGGAGTGGGTGGCTGGGGAGGCATGCCTCTGAAGGTAGACGATGTATAGGTCACCTCTCTGAAGATTGGATAAAGCAGCTTTCAGGTCAATGCAATAGGTATACACACAGAGCCAATTCTCTATTCCTTACTAAAGATATACAGTACACGTGGTTCAGACCCGGGGGGGTCTGTAGGTTTTTGCAGCAATGTACACCTGCTGGGGTTGTGTTTTAAGTTTCGTGGGTTTTGTCTGTTTTTGTTTGTCTCTTAGTTTTTGGTACGGAGCCCGGCTGCCCTCAGACAGTCTCGGCTCGCTCTCTCAGTCCCAGATAGGCGAGGAAGGAGTGTTTGGGCGAAGGGATGCTGGGCGGCGCAGTCTGAGGTCGGGGAGGGTGGAATGTGAGATCCAACTGGTTCTTAGGGTATAACATCGTCAAGGGAATGAGATGGGCGAAATCCGAGTTCCGGTACTTGTCAAAGCGCAGGGGGGAGCCGTTCAAGGGCATGGCCTTGAGTGCCAGGTTGGACTCGGAGCCACCGCCGCCACCTCCGCCGTGGGCGGCCGACAGGGCCACGGTCTGCAGGGCCTGCGAGGCGGACATGACCGACAGCGGAGACAGCAGGTGGCGGGCGCTCCCGACCACCAGCAGCGGGGCCCCCGGCCCGCCGGCTTCCTGGGAGGCTGGGGCCGGGCCCTTCTTGTCCTCCTCGGGGCTGTCCGCGCTCTGATGCTTCTTGACGTGGCGGCTGAAGACGAAGGGATGAGTGGTCTTGAACAGGCACTCTTCGCAGCTGAAGGTCTGGCGCGGGGCGTGCTTCAGCTTCTTGTGCAGGTTGAGATTGTCCTTGCGTTTGCAGCTGTAGCTGCACTGGTCACAGTGGAAGGGCCGCTCCCCGGTGTGCACGCGCACGTGCTCGATGAGCTTGTTGGCGGTCTTGGACAGGTAGCCGCACTGGTCGCACTTGTAGTGGTTGCCCAGGCGATGCGCGCGGGTGTGCGTCTCCAGCTCCAGCTGGTTGGCCTTCACCGTCTGGCAGATCCGGCACTTGTACTCCATCTTGTAGTGGGTCTTCACGTGGCACTCCATGGCGGCAGGGCGGTTGGTGGAATAAATGCAGAATGGGCACCTGCCGGGGGAGGGGGGGGGAAGCAAGGACGGGAGAGGGTCAGCCCCACGGGATCCCGGGAGGTATCCTCCCCGGCTGCTCCCCGCCTCGCCAGCCTGCCCTCGGCCGCCCTCCCGGCTCCGAGACCCGACCTGCCCCCTGCCCAACCCGGCCCTGCCACCTCCTGGGGACCCTCGGTGGCTCTGCTGCAGACAGAGCCATCCCTTAGCCTGCTCGGGGGGTGCGGGGTGGGGTGGGGGGGTCTCCTGGCTGCACCGGGGGATGCCAGCCCCCAGGAAGGGGAGCAGAGCCAGTGCCGGGTTGGAGGGGGGCGCCCAGCTAAGCTGTTCTCCCCTCCAGGACCCCCCGCCCGGCCCCTCGGAGCCCTCCCCGCCTCCCACCAGCCGCGGCCGAGGGCTCACCCTCAAGACCTCCCCTCTAGATGGGAGCAACACAAAGAATCGACTTTTCATGCACCACATCAAGCACACGCAGAAAGGCTCAGAGTTTTGAAGAACAGCTTATAGGGGAGAGCTACCTCCAGCAGAGAGTCGTAGGGGTCAGAATCGTGCTGATTAAAGGGTGGTTAGGATTGAGAAGGCCTGTGTGTGTGTGTGTGTGTGTGTGTGTGTCTGCGTGTGGGAGCAAGTGTGCTGTAGATACAGAGATCTGGACTCCTAAAACCTGTCTCTCCTACAGCACTGGGTGTCTCTCCACCAGGGAGGGGAGGTGAGAACCATCACTGGGGCTCAGGAGAAGGAGACCCACCCACCCGCCTGTCTAGGAATGAGGGGTCGGGCGAGGGAGACAGCTGCTATCTGGATCTTGAAGACATCATTAATGCATTATTAATGATTAATGTTATTACATCATGGAAATAATAGTCATCCAAAGGGACCATAAGCTCTCAGCGGGCAGGACTCCCCTTCCTTCTGCATTCTCTGCAGTGCTCGGTAGAGAAGCCCATAGTGGGCACGGATTCCTTACTGGACTGGTCTCTACAAGTCGTTTAGGCAGATTCTAGCAGGGCCAATTGCAGGCCCAGCTCCGTCACCTGATGGGCGGGCTGTGCCCCGGGACAAAGTCTGGGCCTCTCCATCCTAGGCAGTGAGGCTACGCTGCCCCCGGGCCCCCTGGCTGTCCAGAGGGTCACGGAGGGCAAAGGAGGGGCAGGTTCACAGAGGTTGCTGAGCGTTGCTCTGTAGAAGCTGCCGGGCTCGAGTCGGTGGTTGGTATGATAGCTGTAGCGTGTATGCTCTCTTTACCAAGAGGATGCAAATGCAAAAGTGGCTGCCTCGGCTCTGGACTGGCGCCTGCAAGGGCAGGGCCCGGGAGTGAACTGTCTCCGGAGGGTTTGGAGAGGATTTCAGCAGAGCCCAACACACCCAGTGCCCGTGCACTGCTCCTCAGCGCCAAGCCCGCCGTTAGCCTCGGAACCTCAGCTCACAGAAGAGTGCACGCAAGAGAACTATAAAGCCCATTCCCAGGTCAGGTGCACACACAACCCCTACGCCAAGCTGGGCCTTACCTAGAGGAGTCTGAAACTCACCACTGTCCTGAGCTACGGCAAAAGAAAAATAATAGTATAATCTTATTTGATCTGCATTATGAACAGGATATAGAGTACAAGCAGTCCCATCACAGAAAAGCAATTTAGACATCGGCAGTCTGTTTCATGTTAAGGATGTTTCTGTGACCCACGGCTCAATCTTCCTTTCGCTGCTCAGGCAGAGGGAAAGGGTTTTCTATGTTCCCGTTATTTATCGTAAAGGCACTCTCTGACAAATTACTTCTCTGAGATGGTGAAGGGGAAACAAAAACAAAAAAAAACTCACTGTATAGCCAGAAGGCATTAGCAATTTTGTCAAAGTATTATTCTACTTGGTCAGCCTAGAACATAAACTATTACACAGGGGACCATTAGCACTGCATGGGAAGTCTACACCTGCAAAAGCATCAGGGTTCACTTGGCATCCTCGCCAGTGGGTCAGAAGCTCGGGAACTCCTTAGGTCCCCGAGGAAAGGGGGTTCTAACTGGCAAAGCCACAACTGGCTGGGGCCGCAGGTAATGGGCGTGACTGGGCTTCTAGGAAGGGCAGTGAGCACGAAACCAACCAAGGAAATACATGGCTTTTTAAAAAATACGTACGAGTACGCTAACATTTAGAGGGGGACAGTGGGAATAAACCACATCGAATTCCCAGATGAGCACGTGCTAGGCATTTCCCATTTACTGGTAGTCTTGAATGACCATCGCCCCACTCCCCTTCCTCTTTACCCTCCCCCCACCCCACCTAATCAGCCCCAAGTGAACCAAAATGGGATCTGACAGTGGGTGCCACTTCCTCTGTCTGGGGGAGTGTTTGAAGAGGGCTCCCCTGACCGGGTAGCATTGCCCCCCGACACTTGACTCCCGAGCTCCCGCTGGGTCGCTCCACCCCTCGCCCATTCAGGACAGTCATGCCACCTCTCTTGGCAAGCTGTGAGTTTCAAAGATAAACGTGTTTTTAAAAACAAAAGGTGTTCTTGTTCCTGTGTTAAGTAAAATGTCATTTTTCATTCTTTTAATTACACCATCAGTTCAGCTAAACATGAATAATTATGCTTTGAAAATGGTGTGTCTTTCTGTGCCCAGTGACAGATGCTTCTTTCTCTTTCTTAGAACACAAGTGCCTTGTGAACGGGGCCTCTGATTTCAGAAGCGCCAGGAAGATTAAACTCTGGTAGAGCTTGGACGTACATTTCCCGAGGGTGGAATTACGTTTTATTCCTTGTTTGCCCTTTAGCACCTATTATCAAGCCAGACACACAGCGTGTTTTGATAATAACGGATGGGTCTCTCTTCTGACCAGAGGGCTTGTTGCAAAGGTTGGTTAATGATGACGCTCATTGTCTAGGTCTTTGGGGATCTCGAAGGACATGTGACCGGAGGTGTCAGATCTCACGAAGGCGACACCAGCGAGAACCCAATTCCAGCTCCTGGGAAGGCATAAGGCATATTTGCAGGAAGACACGAGGCATGTGATCTCTGCACGAAAAGAGATGCCTCTTGCCTGTTCACACTGGCAAGTATCCGATATCTGGAGGCGGGTGTGGTTGGGGTAGTTGTAGTGCTTATTTAAAAGACTTGTGGCAAATCATCTAAAAAATAGAGATGGTGGAGTGCAGTGACAGTGTAATGATTTGCACATGTGGACACGTCATAACCCCTCAGTCCCTTACGATCGTCTGAACGGAACTCAAGTGGTGTAGGCTGAGTTTACTCCTGCATACCCACGTTGGGCTGCTTCAGCGAGTTGACTGTCTTGGGGAATGGGAGTCTTGTGCTGACATCTGCTGACCCCGTGGGGGACAGGTCTAATTCCTATCCAGCTAAGGGCACAGAGGTGTGCCCGACTAATGTCCCCGCCCAGGCCAAGCTCCCCCTCTCCATGACCCCAGACACCTTCAAGGGAGGGGACGGGGCGGGGATGGAGGCAGGGTGTTCAATAAAACAACACAGTAAAAGGTTCTGTACTTGCTTTCCTTACTTCAGCCCACCGGTGGGGACAGTGTGGCATTTCTTATGCTCCAGCAGCTGTTCGGGGGTCTTCATGAACTTGTGGCACACGTCGCACTCAAACATCCGGGTGATGAGGTGGATCTGCAGGTGGCGCTCAAACATGTTCTTCGTCTTGCAGACAAAGTTGCAAAACACGCATTCGAACCCTGCAAGGACCGAGGCTGGGTGTAGGGGTGCAGGGGGCAGGGGGAGAGGAGGGCAGGAGTGGGATGGAGACCACCCTCCTTCTTCTCTTTCCCTCCAGCTACACCGTTCCAGGCACCGTGCCCTGCATCGCTGAGCTCAAATGAGTTAAAGACACAGTCTTGGAATCAATGTCACACTCCCCATCCTTTCATTCCATTCCATATGCCGATGCGAACCAAGTCAAAAAACCATATGCAAATTTTAGAGGCTATGTCTAATATCTGTTTCCCAACATCACTTCTCTCCAGGGCTTTATCTCAAGACAGGGTCATCCCTGTGGAGTGGATAGGACTGAACAGACCAGACCACCTCCTTTCCTTACCTTTCTCTGGCTTTTCTTCACTATTCAGGGAGGGCTGGCTCCCAGGCATGACAGAGATGACCAGCAGGTTGTTCCCACTCTTGTTCTTCTGAGAGCTGTCTGAATCGTCCTTGCTGTTGGCTGAATCACTCAGAGCTGAGAGGGATGAGGAAGAAGGGCTATTTGATTCACTGGGGGTCTTCCTGTCTTCCCCTGAAAAATTAAGAAAAACAAACCAGGTCTGTTATTTAGGAGATGAAAACCCTAGAATAATAGCAATCATGGGTGGGGGAGAGTTGGGGCCTCCTGGCTGCACCTTCATTCAGGAAGCACACGTTGAGGTTTCCTGCTTTACCAGTGCTGGGTCCTAGGTCCCAGTCACCTATGGTGATGACACATATGGTTCTTGGGCAAAGAGTAGATATTCAATTGGCAAGTATTTATTGGGGTCCTATAATAATAATTTAAATCATAGCTAAGATGAATGTGTTACCGTGTTCTAGGAACTGTGTCATGCTTTAAATGCATGATCTCGTTTTAGCCTCTCAAAAATCCAACGAGCCAGGACTATTATCATCCCCATTTTACAGACATGGGAAGGAAGGCGCAGCCAGGCTAACGCGGCCTCGGTCGTGTGGTTCTAAGTGCTGGACCACGCTTCACCTGGTCTGATTCTAGTGCCTATGCTCCTCATTAGGGCACTGGGCTCTCCCTCAAAGCCAGTAGTAAACAAATCAAGAGACCAAGAAAATCTAGCGTCAGGAGACTTCTGCTTCTCTTCAAGATAGAGTGTTAGAGACTGGACTGACCACTGCTACTGAAACAATGAAAAAAAAACAGACAAAGTTTATCAAACAATAATCTTTACAACATTGGACATAAGGCAATGAGGACTGACCCCTGCAAGACAGGGAAGAAAAGAGGTGCGCCCTAGGACTGCCCTGCTTCCCTCCTTGAGTAACTTCACCATCCAGGCTGCGGTGCAGGGACGGGGAATCACCTGTCAGACTCACTGAACTGCGGAGAGAAAGCTGAGGCTCTGAGATTAACACGCCCGGACTTTGCAGGACAGAGCACCAAAGAGGAAAGAGAGGCACAGGAGGAGAACCCAGAGACCTGCAGATGGTCCCCCAAGGACACGCAGAAGAGTCGAGATCAGAGCACGCGTGTGAGGAAACCACCCAAAGTTAAGGGGGAAAAGGCCATCTGACAGGCTTAAAGTACAGTGTCTGTTTCCACTAGACAAATTAGAAAAGCTCATAATTCCCAAGGCGTTGAGTAGAAAAACAAGGAAGATCTTTTACTAGTGGGTAATGACTAACTGCTCCAGACCTGCCTAACAAATCATGAGAGCAAGAACCTCAAAAGATCAAAGTTGCCAAATAATGCCTAAGACAAAAGTCAGGAGTATTTATAGGAACATAAAGTATACAGTACCCAACAAGGTAACTATCACAATGTCTGACATCAAACAAAGATGATCAGGCATGCCAGGAAACAAGAAGACACTACCCAAAGACAGAAAGAATAATCGACCAATCAAAACTTACCAGGAACTGACAAAGTTGTTAGAATTTACAGAAAATGACATAAGAGCACTTATTGTAACTGTATTCTATATGTTCAGAAAGTTAAGTGGAGATAGAAACGATATAAAAAAGACCCAATCCAAATTCCGAGAGATGAAAATCAGAGTGTCTGAGATGAAAAACAGATTGGATGGGATTATTAGTGACTTAGACATGGCAGAAGAAAAGATGAGTGAACTTGAAGATAATCACAACAGAAATGATCTGAAATGAAACAGAGAGAGAAAAGAATCACAAAAATGAAAAAAGCATCAGTGAGCTGTGGGATGCCTGCTGGTAGCTTAATATAAGTTCCATTGAAGTTCCTAACTGGGTGGGGAGGGCAGAAAAAATACTTGAAAAGACAAAAATTTTTCCAAATTTGAGGAAAAGCTGTAAATTTACAGACCCAAGAAACATAATGAATTCTAAGCATAAGAAAGATAAAGAAATCCATACCAAGAGACATCATAATCAAATAGCTCAAAATGAGTGATAAAGAAAAAAGCCTAAAAGCAGCCAGAGGAAAAAAGCTACATTGTGCGCAGAGGAACAAAAGTAAGTATGATGGCAGATTTCTCACTGGAAGCGATGCAAGGGAGAAGTAATGAAGTGACCTCTTTAAAGTACTGAAAGAAACAACTGTCAACCTGAAACTTTATACCCAGTGAGAATATATCTCAAAAATGGAGGCAAAAGGGACTTCCCTGGTGGTTCAGTGGTTAAGATTCTGTGCTTCCACTTCAGGGGTCATGGGTTCAATCCTTGGTCGGGGAACTAAATATCCCATATGCTGTGTGGTACAGCAAAAAAAAGACAAAGAAAAAGAAAAAGCTAAAAGAAATCATTACCACAGACCCAAATTGTAAGAAATGGTAAAAAGAAATTCTTCAGGCAGTAGGAAAATCACACCAAATATAAAACATGGATCTACACAAAAGGAATGTACAACACTGGAAATGATAACTGCATGGTAGACAAACTTTTCTGACTATTTAACAGCTCTTTAAAATATAATAAAAGTAATTTTGTTCAAAACTAATGTAGCAATTATAGCAGGTAAATATATGATGACAGTAACCTGAAGGCTGGGAGAGGAGAAATTATTGTGAGGTTCTTAAACTAAATGAAGTGGTATATTATCACTTGAAGGTAAATGGTAATAAATAAAAATGAAGTTATAAACCCCAAATAACCATGATTGATACATTGTTCATGTTCAAGAGACTCAATATTAAGATGTCAATTGTCCCCAAGCCAATTCAATGCAACCTCATAGTCTTAGGTTAGTTTAGGGTTGCAAATATAAGGAGACTGTGCTTCAGTTCCTTTCAAATCAGCCAATTAAGTAATCTGGTGATTGTAAACTCTTAGAAACAGACTTTATTAGGAGATTAAAAAAATAAGTCATATTTTGTATATAGGCATAAAAAGTCCAGACGTAAACAAAGCTGTAATGGTGGTGACATCTAGTCTATCAAATGATCAGCCTTAGGCTTGTTTTTTTTTTTAATTTGGCTTTCAACATTTTCTGGAGTGACCATGAATTACTTGTCCAGTTAAAACATGTGTGTAAAAAGAGGAAGGAAAAATATTTACCAGTTTTCAATGTTTCTGTTTTAAGAGCTGTACTTATGCCTAGCGCACCCAACTCTTACTTCAGTTGACAATTTAAAAAATCTTGCTCCTTAGCAGAAATGAACTTGGTTCCTGGACAGACAGGAGGTGACTTCACTTACTGACCCATTGTGGTGAGATGGAACATGCCTTTAATCCACATCCCTCCCTTGGTACCCGGAAAGCCAGCACCATGATTGCCAGTCTCTTATCTAAATATTGAACTAGTTCAGTCACATTTTGTAGACAAACAGAATATTTTCAGTGCAGGCCCTCAGTCCCCGGTATTGCCTCAGCAAATCCATCCTCTAAGACTGGTCTTACCAACAGAATATTATGGATGCTTAAACTAGCTTTTAGAATTAAAACAGATAATTTGGGGGATTTTGCTTATGGTCCAGGGTTAAGATTTTGCCCTTCCACTGCAGGGGACATAGGTTCAATTTCTGGTTGGGGAACTAAGATTCTGTAAGCTGCACAGTGTGGACTAAATAAATAAAAACAGGTAATTTTAATTACCATCTTTAAGAATAGCTCCAAGTACCCTCAGGCTTATGGCACTGGGGAGAGCTACCTAAATGAAGAAACGCGGATTCTCCAGGCAAGAACACTGGAGTGAGTTACCATTTCCTTCTCCAGGCGATCTTCCTAACCCAGGGATCAAACCCAGGCCTCCTGCATCGCAGGCAGATTCTTTACGGACTGAGCAGCCAGGGAAGCCAACTATACAGGAGCCACGGCAATTACTCCGGGCTACAGCATGGGGACACAAGCCCAGCGCACTCACTCTGCACTCCTGTCGACACAGCTTCCTTTCCCCTCAGTCCACATCCCCCTTCACTGTATCCGTGGGGAGGGAGCCAGGGTGCGCCCGTCAGCCCAAGCCAAGGCTCACTATGATCCCAGCGGTCACTGACTTTCAGCATCGCAAAGATTTCTGGATCACCTGTGCGCAGGTGATGCAACCTCAAACTCTAGGATGGCCAACTGAAGAAAACCTTACAAACCTAAATATTTTGTAATTTAAAATGACAAAAATTGAGCAATGAGCCCAGAAAAAGCACCAACCTTCTTTCTGCCTCATACAAATACCATTACATTTTTGGTGTCCTTTCAATTTAAAAATTGTTGCCATTAATTGCATAGAGGTTAAGAATAAGGACTTAAGATCCAGAATACCTGAGTTTGAATGCCATCTGTCCCACTCAGGAGCTGTATAACCTGGGACAAGGTATTTAACTTTGTGCTTCAATTATCTCATCTAAGAAATAGGAATAATATCAGTATCTCATACATTTGTTGTGAGACTCAAATGGGTTTTTATATGCAAAGCACCAAGAACAATGTCTGGCTCATGGTAAGCATTGTTGAAGACTATATTATTGTATTATAAAATACAACATACAATATTTATAAAATAATATTAATAACTTTTTGTATTTCCCCATGCTGTTGTATATACCTGACCTACAGTTGCCTCTCAAAAAATTTATAGAAATAATTATGAATTAATAGTTTTAAGTGATAGTACTATATCCAGGGAGTAAACTTATTCTGTATGCATGTGTAAACATCCTAAGTCGCTTCAATCATGTCCGACTCTTTGCAACCCTATTGCCCATGGTCTGCCAGGCTCCTCTGTCCACGGGATTCTCCAGGCAAGAATTCTGGAGTGGGTTGCCATTTCCTCCTCCAGGGGATCTTCCTGACCCAGGAATTAAACCCACATCTGTTAGGTCTCCTGCATTGGTAGGAGGGATTCTTTACCATTAGTGCCACCTGGGAAGCCTTAAACCTATCCTACTCTCCTAAAATATTTCCTTAAAATTAAATTTTAAATGAAAATTAATATTCTACTGGCTGCTTTTATTTTTCCTACAGATAAATTCCCAGAAGTGGGATTACTGGGTCATAGAACATTACATTTTCAAGGCTCTTGGTATATACTAATTAGTTTTCAAAAGTTCTACCACTTTGCAAGGCCATGGCCACAGGAGGATCAGCAACAGTGGAGAACATTATAAGATATGCTTCTGACTCAACAGGTGAAACATAAGCCACTTCTGAGTTTTAGTTTGACTGCTAGCAAGGTTGAGTATTTTTCCTGATGTTAAGTGATTAGTTTTTATTTCTTTTATTGTGAGTTGACTATTCATGTCCTTTGTAAATTCTTCAACTGGAGGCTTTAAGGGTTTCTAACCAGTTTATATGAATTTTCCATGCTGTAAATATGTTAACCTTTGGTCATTTTTACAAACACATTTTACAGACTGTGGTTTTTTCTAGTTTTCCTTCTCTTTTGCTTTCCTTTTGCAAACGGAAGAAACTTTCTTGTGTCAAATCTCTTAGTTTTTTTCCTTTGTGATTTTGTGTCTCTCTCAAGCTCTTACAAATCCTTCTCATTCTGGAAATTTGATAAATATTCTATTTTATTCAAGCCTTTCAAGGGTTGATTTGTTAACAGGGATGGGGTAAGTTATGTGGAATTATTTTGGTGTCAGTGTGACGTGAAGACAGATGGTAGGATTTTCCGAATAGCTGTTCAAATTCCTTAATGCCATTATTGCAACATTTAAAGACTGCAGCAAACTTTGCATTGAGAAAGCACCAGAGGGAAGATCTTCCCTTCCTGATGTTCTCCGCAGGGACAAGGAGCCAGAGAGGAAGAGGGTAAGGAGGAGTCAAACACTAAACAGCAGACAGTTCCTCAAATTCCTGCTCAGCACTGCATTCACCAGCGCGTCTTGGCTGAGAGGAGCCAGTAAGGAAGCGTCAAGAAGGACGTGGATTCTAAGGGAGGCGACGTAACAATCTGCTGTTCATGAGAGCTTAGACTGTAGGTCACGACTTCACTTAGGTAAGGAGAGAGCACTCCAGGTCTCCCGGGGCACTCAAACACAGGAGGCCCGTTTTTATGACAGGTAAATCACATGACCAGGCTGCCCTGGACTCGGTGGTAAAGAATCTGCCTGCATGTATCTTCCTGATACAGGGATCGAACTCGTGTCTCTTGCACTGGCAGATGGATTTTTTTTTTTTTTTACCACTGAGCCACCAAGGAAGCCCCATTATAGACTATACATACTGTTTTATATCATAACTTTGCAATCACACAGCCTGTTGATTACAGATGTAGACTGACGTATTTGGGGGCAAATTCAAACGCTTCAAAGCAGCAGCTAGATACATGAAACCCCCCCCTTGTGAGACCATTAGCTTATAACTAGGGGTCAGCACACTGTAACCCTTGGGCCAAATTTAACTTTGTGTTTTTGTAAATCAAGATTTAGTGGAACGCTGCTATGCCCACTCTTTTACATATCATCTGTGGCTACTTTCCATCCAATAGGACTGAACGGTACTGACAGCAACTGTATGGCCTGAAAGCCCGAGATACTTACTATCTGACCCTCAAGAAACATGCTGCTTAGCACCCCGAGCTTATAGAATAGGATAGAACCTTATTCCCTAACAGCAGCAGCACTAAAGGCTTCTACTGTGTTAAAGGAGAAACATCTTTAATGCATTTCACTCTGGGCTCTCTGTACTAATAAACAGGAATCTGCCTCACAATCTCAGAGGGAACAAGATCTCGCCATGTTCCCCATAGCAATGAGGAGGTGAGTCTCTGCAGCGGTTACTTGGCAAAGTGAAGTTTCCAGTGATGACAATTAGGTGATGCCAAGTCCGACATTTCTCCAGGCATTAGTTTCTACGGTTTCCTTGGGGATGTGTGGCCGGGGCTTGGATCAGGGCGGGAGGAAGAAGGTTCTCAGCTGGGTTGAGGCACACTTTGGGGTGGAGAGGGAAGAAAGGAAAGTGTAACAGAAAAGAGAAAAAAAAAATCTGAAAGCCAGTGGAAATGGAAGCGAGGCTGCCTTTCTCTCCACTGGCCACTTCAGAAATGCTGAATTTAATTTGTCTTGGATGTGGATTTCCCAGCTCACCTGCTGCCCACGGTGCTAATGTGGTTACAGGCAGAAAACCGACTGTAAAGACGCACCTCCTCACTCAGCATAACGGCTCTCTGCAGACCTCCGAGTCAGAGCTGCTCAACTTAATGACAAAAGCAAGCTTTTATTGCTGTTGGCATCATGGAGCCAAGGCGGCCAGTACAGCAGAGAGAGACGGTTGTCGCCCATGCACACCGCCGGCCCAGCTGTCAGGGAAATGCCCCTTCCCAAATCCTTCACGGGCCGAGGATGCAAGGGGCAGATCCACTGCCTGGGGCTGGCGGTCAGCAACCTCTGCTAGGGACTTGTAAGCAAAAGGCAGGGGGAGCTCCTCTTCATGGTCACTTACTGACTGCATGCTGGTGTCATTTGTAACCACCACTTGGGAGAGGGTGAGTGCCTGGTGGAGTCAAATGTTAACATTATCAAATGGACGGAGTTAACCAGCACGGCCTTAAAGGAAAGGAAAGCGCTGGCCAAAGTCTTGGCTGCAGCCTTGAGTGGTTTCAGGAGAAGCTGGTTTTCTTTGCGCTTGAACAGAGCTGCCGTTCATCACTCTGGAGGGGGCAGGGCTGCAGTTTCAGGGAAGAGGAGGGGAGCCTGCAGAGATAGGCGTGCTGGGCTCTGACCCCAGGAAACAGAGAGGGCAGCCCTCTGCCTGGGGCTGCCAGGGGCCATCAGAACAGCGTGGACAGAGTGGGCTCCAGCAGGAGTGTGCTCAGGGCTGCTTGCAGACCTTGAAGAGCACACCTGACCCCTGGTAAGCCTCGGTGTCTCCCCTGTGTGGACACCCACGGTAATATGGACGGCGGAGGGTGGTTATAGGAGATCTAGGGTGCAAAGGCACATCATCAAAGCTCCATGACTGTTACCCATGAAGGTGATGACTGGGATGAGGAACCAGCAGAGCCTCTCAACTGCATCTGAGCCTGTGACTGTGTCAGATTGGCGAGGCATAAGCCAGGCCAGGCTATGGCCTTGGGGCTACAGGGTAGCACCCTCTTGGAAGGAGATGGCATGACGATGCGGATATCCCTGTCAGGCGGGGCGGAGAGGGGCGGAGAGAAGGGAGGGAAGGGCCGACAGGGAGGGTGGTCACCTGTGTGCTTGCTGCTGATGTGCGCCTTTATCTCCGCCTCCTCCATGGTGACGAAGTCGCAGGCCGTGCAGCAGATGGAGAACATCCACTGCTCCTTGTCCACGTGGAGCGACATGTGGCTGACGAACTGGACGTTGAGCTCCGTCTCAAATCCACACACGTGACAGCTGGACCGAAAGAGAGATGTGTGAGCTTCCAAACGGAGGCTACAGGAGCATGCGGTCCCCTCCCAAATCCCGACCTTGACATGCGTTGGTCCCACCAAAAGGCTAGGCATTAGGGAACCCCTCCGCTTTCTGGGATGGCTCGGAAGTGGTCACCGTGCCAGACAGATTAAATGCCCGCATAATGTAACAAGCCCATGCATGCTATAATGATACTAAATAATCATACAGTTAATTCAAAATTACAGATCCCAGATGCTCTACATCATCTAACTGATTCCTTTGGGCAAAGGGATGCAGGACAGCCTGGCCAAGATATTAGCAGAGCTGGTGTGCCGATAAACTCGCAAGCCTGACAACTCGGGCTGTAAACAGCAACCACACCAAATACTGATTCACGGTTGACTATGGAAGAGAAACAGGCACCTCCAGGTCCTAAAGGATAACACCGCGAAGGGAAAGGAGGAAATACTTCCAGGGCTATTTGCTCACGGTTCTCAGACTCATTTTTTCCTTAGGATAATTCTCAGGAAGCAGTGAGTTGCTCAATGATAAAGGCGGGAGCTTCCCGGCTGTAGGGACCTCCCCACTAATAACCCCCGAGCCTTCCTCTCTCTGGACCCCACCCCACAGCGCCACCTCCATGACCATTTCCCTTTTAATTAACTCTCCCCGGGCTCCCAAGCCAGCAGGGAGTCAGCACCACACAGGGTTCAACCCAAGCAAAGTCGATATGAAGAGGAGGCTCAGCCCCGAGGCTGAGACGAGACACTTTGTCACCTGTGCCTGAGCAGATGTGCAGGGAGTGTCCGAGAAAGTCTGGGCAGCCCGGACCAGCGGGCTCCACTGGCGGCCCACCTGTAATAGTAAGGGTGCTTCTTCCCATCACTGCCTTCGGAGGTGACGGCGCTGACGATGTCCTCGGCGTCCGTGCTCACCAGCTTCACCGAGTGGACGGTCAGGTGCTGGTTCAGGTTTGCGCGGCACTTAGCAGCATAGGGACACAAGTGGCATTTGTATTTTCTCTCCTCTGGGGGCGAAGGGACAGGAGAAAACCCAAACCACACTCAGAAATGGGGGCCCAACACCTTGCAAAAGACCACTCGGAGGTATCAAGGACAGGAGGGCGCAAATCTCAGTTCCACTGGGGACAAAGTGAACCCGCTGGGATTGTGGATATTGAAAGAGTCTTCTGTGATGGATCAAGTGGTAAAGAATTCACCTCCCATTGCAGGAGACACAGGAGACGCGGGTTCGATCCCTGGGTTGGGGAAAAAATCCCCTGGAGGAGGGCATGGCAACACTTCAGTTTTCTTGCCTGGGAAAGCCCACGGACAGAGGAGCCTGGTGGGCTACAGTCCATGGGGTCGCCAAGAGATGGACACAGCTGAGCACACATGCACATACAGTCTTCACCTGGTGGCACCTGCATTTATACTTTCAAAGATAAAAGAAAATTCCAGGGCGACTGGACCATCTGCTTTTTTCTGGATACCCATAGGCCCCTCTTCCTGATAACGGGAGCCGCATGCAGGCTACAAGAATACTCTGTGTGTGTGTGTGTCTAAGCTCCCAGGTGTGTAGGTCCAGGGTGGGTGCTGAGCTGAGGAAGGGCATGTGAATCAGCCTGCTCAGGCTGGTGTGTAAGAGACACACCATCATTTTCCCTAAGCTCCAGGCCTGGGTCAGTCAAGAAATAAACGCGAAGAAAATTAAAGGGGGAAAAAAAAATGAATCAGATGAAATAATTCAATGGGAAATTGTCATGGTACATAAATAAAATAAAAAATTATATTTCTTAATAGAATCTCTTTCATAAAACTGACAATGTTTTAGGGCCATTTTCAGAGTGGCATTCTGAATTCATCTGACTAATCAAGTAAATTCAAGGAAAAGGAGCTGGCTTTGCTTTTAGGTACCGCTAAAGATGACAGACAACAGCAGACGATGAAAAGGACAACTTCCTTTTCTGTCCTTAGTTCTGACTTTGTAATACGGGGCTTGCCTTAAGGAAAATACCTGTCTGTCTTATCTACATCACGGGGTAGAGTGCAAAAAAAAGTTTTTCTGCCACAAAATTTAAGGCATCATCATTATTATAAGTGGCCCCCAACATCTGAGGGGCTGGTGGCCTGGGCTCAGGTAGGGCTGGGGAGGAGCCCTACAGTGTAGAGAGAATAGTCTTTTCTCTAGAATTTTGGCATTTCTAATTAATAAGCGAGGTTGTTAAGCTTTGATATTAAGATTGTTAAGTTTTGGTATTAAGGTTACAATTTCTCCATAAAGTGTTAAGCTTTCTTTCTCTTTTTCCTTTTTTTTGGCCGTGCCCCTGTGGAATATGGGCTCCTAGTTCCCCAACCAGGGATCAAACCCCCACCCCCTGCAGTGGAAGCATGGAGTCTTAACCACTGGACCACCAGGAAAGTCGTTATCTTTTTCTATCATTTGGAGTAGTTTAACAATATCAGAACTTTCTAGTCTTGACAGGTTAAAAAAGAACCCTGCTGGAAAAGTTTCTGGACCTGATACTTTGTGTTAATATTGTCTCCTCATCTTTCCAAATTCCCCTTTGGCAACCAGTTTATTTGAGGAGGGCATGGCAACCCACTCCAGTATTCTTGCCTGGAGAATCCCATGGACAGAGGAGCCTGGTAGACTACAGTCCAAGTTTCTCCCCACCAGCTTCGGTGAATTTTGGAAATTTTGCTTAAATTACCTATGTCATTTAAAATTTTCAGCTTTTTTTTTTTTTTTTGCCACTGAGTTGCCTTTATTTTCCAGTAATTCTTTAATAACATCTGTATTAGAAATCAGGCTTCCCAACATAAATGTCCATTAATAGATGAATGGATAAGGAAGATGTGGTAGCTACATCAATGAAATATTGTGCAATGCATGCTAAGTCACTTCAGTTGTGTCAGACTCTTTGCGACCCCATGGACTGTAGCCCACCAGGCACCTCTGTCCATGGAATTCTCCAGGCAAGAACACTGGCGTGGGTTGCCATTTCCTCCTCCAGGGGATCTTCCCGACCCAGGGATTGAACCTGGGTCTCCAGCACTGCAGGCAGATTCTTTACCACTGAGTCACCAAGGAACCCCTAAAGAAATATTACTCCGCCATAAAAATAAGTGAAATTTTGCTATTTGTAGCAACATTGATGGACTTGGAGGGTATTATGTTAAGTGAAATAAGCCAGACAAAGACAAATATTGTGTAGCATCAATTATATGTGAAATCTAAAAAATAAAGCAAACTAGTAGTTTAACAAACAAAGAAGCAGACTCACAGATTTAGAGAACAAACTAGTGGTTACTCCTGGAGGGAAGGGGAAATTAGGGGCGGGGAAGTGGGAGGTACAAACTAGTGGTGTAAGATAGACTCAAAGATGCATTGTACAACACGGGGAATATTTTGTAAGAACTGTAAATGTATAAGAGAAGAATTCGGCTTCCCTTTTCATTACTCATTTTGAATACTTTTGCCTCCTTTGTTTTTCTTAAATGGACTTAAAGGGATTTATCCATTTATGATCTTCTTCCTAGAATTTGTTCTTTTACTAATTCTTTACAATGAGTGCTAAGTTACTTTATTTTTGTTTTTCTTCCCTTCTAATTAAAACATTTAAGTCCATAAAGGTTCCTCAGACCGGAGCTGCAGCTGTTTGTTCCAGGTTTAGGTATGAATGTTCTCTTTCATTCCTCCTAGATGTCTGGAATTTGTGATTTTCTTCATTTCCTTTGATCCGATTAGGTAGGACATTTTATGGACGCTTGGTTATTTTAAATTTCATTGAAGTATATTCAGAGAATGTGGCACACAGAAGTTCTACTTTTTTGAACAAGTAAAAGTTTTCTTTGTGGCTAAGTATATGACTAAATTTAGTCTTTACTGGTTTAAAAGATTCAAAATATTAAAAAATAGATATATAAAGAGAAAATTAATCTTGTTATACTAATACTATCTTGCTTTTTTGTTTTGTGTGATATATAAAACTTTTATTTTATCATTTTCTGTTTGCTTTAAATAAGACACATCTGAATTTTTCAACAAGGCTGATCTTCAGTGTAAAAATTCAAACACTTCATTTTCTTATTTCCATCTTGCTTTTTGTTTAATATTGATTTTTACCTCACTTCTTTTTGCCCTAGCTTATTATTGTTGCATTGATTAAGTTACTATTTATTGGGGTTTCCACTTCCCAATACTCAGAATCAACCATAATTCTCTTACTGAACATAAATAAAGACAGACACTATTTCTCCACCAAGGTGCTCCTTCCCCTTTCTCCCACCTACCACAATGAGATGAATCCAAAGATAGAGTGCAGTCACCCACCCCCTATGCCTTCAAGATGAGAGCAATAAACTTCTTAGAGTTGAGAAATTTCACCTGAACACACCTAAATGTGAATCTTTTCTCATCAATCCTCCTTGAATGCAAAAGATCCTTTCAGTACAAAGAAAAAACTCTTTCCAGAGCCTTATTTGAACATGCCAGGTAAAACGTCTTGAAAAGGTCAGGATAAAAACATTTATACCACTTTCTGGTTTAATTAAATTTTTTTTTGTCCACACCAAGTAGCATGTGGGACCCTAGTTCCCTGACCAGGGATCGAACCTACACCCCCAGGATTGGAAGCACGGAGTCTTAACCACTGGACCACCAGGGAAGTTCAGAAACACAGATTCTTGATCACGAAGAAGCCAGTGGTCCAGAGGGGGAAGGCCCCGACTCACCTGTGTGCAGAGACAGGTGTCGGGACAACGTCTGCTGTCGGCCAAACACTTTCCCACACACGTCGCAGGGGAAGAGCTGGTCGTTGAACTTCCAGGAGGGCAACCCATTTCCTGCCTCGAGGACTATCTTTTCTGTTTCTGGGCCAAAAGAATAAAGCAGTGTGAGGAATAAACAAGGCAATGGAAGCACGTTTCAGCTTGGTCAACATTCAAGTTAATGTTCAACATTCAACATTCAACTTAAGCCAAGGCTTCCTTCTAAAGCAGGTGGCTGGTAAACTACAAGTAACCTCTGGTCTTCATGCTCATCTTCTGTCTCTAAGAAGGCTATTCTTGAAAACTGTGGTGGGAAATGGATCCCAATTTTAGTCAGGCCTCCCATGGTTTCTCTCCTTCCTCACTAAAGGTCTGTGGACCCAACCCTTTAGCAGGTTGACAGCATGGCTTCGCACTCTGCCCCAGATACAGCAGGCACTTGGTAAAAGGTGCAGAATGGGTGAACGGTTGAGTTGCACGTTAAAATTCCAGAAGTGCAGACTCTTGCCTGTGCGTGTGTGCTAAGTCGCTTCAGTCATGTCTAAATCTTTGCAACTCTATGGATTGTAGTCCACCAGCCTCCTCTGTCCATAGGATTCTCCAGGCAAGAATACTGGAGTGGGTTGTCATTTCCTCCTCCAGGGGATCTTCTCAACCCAGAGACTGAACCTGCGTCTCCTGCATTGGCAGGTGAGTTCTTTACCACTAGCGCCATCTGGGAAGCCTGCAGACTCTTGCCACCAGACAGTAAATCAAGAATGCCAAAGCTCAGATTCTGATGTAAGAACAGATGGTTCCATCTCTTGAAAGGATTACACTTTCATTGTCCTTTATGCACAAAACGTTTTGCCCTATGTTTTGGGTTGTGCAAAATCCTTAATGAGGAACCAGTGGTACACAGACTCAAGGATGACAACTGTGTACTGCTCGCTATGGTCTGAATGTATGAGTCCCCGCAAATTCATACACTGAAACCCCAATGCTCAAAGTGGTGGATTTTTAGAGGTGGGGTCCCTAGAAGGTGATTAGGTCATGAGGGTACATTCTCACGAGTGGGATTAGTGTCCTTAAAAAAGAGGCCCCACAGGGTCCTCTGCCCGCTTTGCTCTGTGGGGACTCAGCAGGACATAGGCAGTCTGTGTCCTGGAAGCAGCTCCTGCCTGACCTCGCTGGCACCCTGCTCTGGGGCTCCCAGCCTCCAGGCCTGTGTGCAGTACATCTTTGTTTATAAGCTGCCCAGTCTAAGGTACTTTGCTACAGCAGCCTGAGTGGAGTCAGACTCTACTCCACATAAAATGCCCTCATGGAAGAGTGTACAACCAGAAATTCCCCAAAAGCCTCATGATGCTTGGGAAAATGAGAGCCACAAGTCACCTGTAAGTAATTCAGAGCCACGAATGACCTGCGTGGACCTTAATATCTTCTTTTGACATCTTAAAAAGGGTTTATTTTCTCATCATCATCCATGGGGTTACCTTTAATTTTCTCATCTATCCTCTGGCCATGGGGTTCTCCAGTCAAGAATACTGGAGTGGGTTTCCATTTCCTTATCCAGGAGGTCTTCCTGAGCCAGGGATCAAACCCACCTCTCCTGCACTGCACGTGGATTCTTTACCAATGAGCCGCCAGGGAAGCTCCATATCGCTTCTCACTGAACCTAAGGAGTCCATAAACATTCCTTCAACAGTAAGATAAGGAGAGAGGTGACAGAGTACCAAAAATAGGGAAGGGGACACCTTCATGAGGACACTTGTCTGGGCTCACTACGGCTTGCAGCTTCACCCTGAAGAGCAAGACAAATGATTTACCGAGTCAGTATCTTGTCCTTTATCTCAGTGAATTACTGTGAATGTTCCTACAGCACGGTGGTGCTCGTATAGCCAGATACCATGTGGCCAGAACTAAATGGTGGAAGGAACTTTCCATCAAATCAAGCAGATGAAAACATTCAGGTCACCGGGCAGAGACAAACATCAGAACAAAGAACCCGATTTCCCCCAGTTTGGTGAAAACTGCTTCCCAAATACAAATACAGGCTTCCACCTGCATTTGGGTGAGTCAACTGGATCAATTTTCATTTGAATTCAGACTTGCCAGATCGTGTAATCTCAGGAAAGAAGAAGCAAACATGAATGTATGTTTGGAAGGGGTGGGGGACTGATGGTGAAACTGCAAAAATGTTTGCTGCCAGTAATTCTAACACTGATAAGGCCCATGTATTGATTGATCCGTGTTTGTTAAATGTAGCTCTTCGGGCCTCAGAGACAAGATCGAGTCTTCTTATTAGAGTAGGAATGTGTGACTACAGACCTCTGCAGGGGAAGAGGTGGAGCTGTGGAGGAAAGAAAGTGCAAAGGGAGCTATGGGCTCTGATGTGTGAGGACAAGACCCACCCTTGGATGGCTATCCTGGAGTCCGAGCTGTGAGCGCTTCCACACGCGGCGTGAGAGGGCGTTTCGGCAGCTCGTCTGAAGTGTGTAAGCACAACAGGCTTCAAAGGAGGATGATAGTAATAATTATAAGGAGAGATCAAGAGGGTACAAGGTCTTCCAATACACTCCCAACAAGAATGGTCAATTGGGTCACAGACCAAACAAGCAGATGCAATTATAAAGAGAGAAGTCTCTTAGTAACTCTTTGAAGGATCGGTCCTGTGCTTGAGAAGCTGAAGCATCATGAAAAGCCCAGTTGCCTCCACTGGTCTAGAAAAAGGTTAGAACCACGAAGGCTGTGCTATGGGGAAGCAGAAGGACTGTCTGCAGACAGGGTGAGGCAGGGTGGGGGTGTCCAGCCCTGGTCAGCGCCCCCATCCCCACCCGCCATGGCCCCGGCCTGGGCCCCAAGCCCTGTCCAGGGACCAGCTCCTCTCCCTCCTTGCTATCTGCGTTTGCTTTGGGCACCCATTGTCATTTCACATGCAGGAGCAAGGGCACCAGGCCATCGCAGTCTCATCCCAGAACATGACCTTGAAATCAGACTGGGGTGAGGCTGGGGATGGAGGCGCAGGGGCAAGAGGGGAATTAGAACTTTGCCCAAACAAGTACTGAAATCAAAGACCTCCTCTTCTTTTCCCCGAGCTGAAATGGAGCCCAAGGGATGCCAGGGTCTTCCACGCTTCCTGGGGATGGTATCACCTGCCTGCCGTGAGAGAGACCTCAGAATCTGTTTTGATCCCTCCCTCCCTCTCTCTGTCTTTTCACACATCCAATTGGTCACCAAAAGCTGCCCGTCTGGTTGGAGAGCGATAGCTGAATGTGACGGACGCCCTGCAAGGCCACGCTTTAGGACCACTGTCCGCCTTCTGGAAGCGGGGCTGGTTCCAGCACCATGGAGGCCTGGCAGCTGGGAACACCAGCTCTCCAGGACACGTTCTGGAAGAGATCCGAGCACTGCCTGCAGCTCTTGAGGATCAAAGTTACCAAAAATACTGCAAACCACTTAAATTGTGAACCCTATAGATCAATGTTTATAAAAATGGATGTGGAGGCCTATTCTAATTTATTTGCATTAGTAATACAGACTGTAGCCCTACGTTAAGAAAACCACTGTGGGAACAAGTGGCAAGTGCCCCGAGGGTGTGCATCTTTCAGCTCGATTCATAGTCACAGGTACCGTGCTCCATCATCTCCTTCCCCGGAAACCGAATGATCTGGCCTGGCTACTGCTTAACTGAGTCATTATCGCTCACCAGAACACTGACAAAGCCTCCTAAACAGACTCGCGGGTCCCATTTCACCAGCCCCTCTTGGAGGTTCCCGGATGACCTTTCTGAGGCACAAGGCAGGTCACGTCTCGTCTTCCGTTCCCCGTGCAGGCCAAACTCCTCCTGCACAGGGCTGCTAAGATCGTCCACACACTGACTCCAACCATCTCCCCGCTTCGCTTCCCAAAGGCTCAGTGGAGTGAGCGACTTGCCTTTCGGAAACAAGCTAGTCCCTCTGGAGCCTTCAATGCTTTTGGATCAACTATGCCTCCACCAGAAGCGACTCCCCACCTCTGGCACCTCTTCTGCACACAGACTCCAGCTCATTTTCAAGCTCTGTCTCAGACCGTATCTCCTTGGTCAAGCCTTTGCCAGTTCCCCAGCTAATGTGTCCTTTTCCCTTCTCTGTCCCAAAGCACTTTTATTGAATACACTATTGCACCACCTTACCTATTATATCATGTTTACCTATCTTCTATTAATATATTATATGTATGTTTTTAATATAGAGCACCCAGTGAGTTTGACATGTGACAGTGTTCAGTAATTATGTTCTCCGGCTTCCCCTCCCTATTAGAAGGTAAGTCATTGGCGGGGGCGGTTCTGGAGGATTTATTTATGCTTCCTGGGTATAGGCACAGACCTGATATATAGCAGGTGGGTAGCAGACAGTTGTTGAAGTGAATGACTGAATGAAAGGACCCGAGTTTGGCAGGGAATAAATATTATTCTTATTTTATACTGTGAAAGACTGAGGCTTGGAAACAGCATTAGTTAAAGCTAATGGCCAATTCAGTGTAAAAAATAAGGCTACTTGCTTTCTGAATGGTGTCTTAACTCAACCTGAGAACCATGATTTAATGATTTTTATTAGAAATGTTTCCAGTCCTGAGCCATATCCCCAGAGGGCCTCTGTCCTTACTTCTTCCCAATAACAAGCCATAGGATTATTCTCTTCAAGACGCATTCTCTGGCAGACACTGTTTTTTGATTAACCCAACAGTCACTCTCAACTTTCCTCTCCCTGTCTCATTCCCACTGTAGAGGCAGCTGGGGTGGTCATGTGCTAAAGTTATGACCAATAAAAAGGCTTTTGCTTTCCTGATAAAGAGAAAGATATACTTGGTGTTGGCCCTCTTCTTTTTCTTTCCTTGAATACAGAGACAATGCCTGGGATTACGGCAGCCATTTTGGGCATATGAGGCCTGAGGTGAAAGCCAATCTGTTAAGTATGTTGAAAGGGAAAGAAGAAAAATGTCTGGGTCCTGGATGGCATCTTCCAGCAGCTGAATAAATGGCTGAAACCACCCACTCGGGACTTACTTTTTAGATAAGGAAAATAAGCCACTGTTTGTTTCAGCCACTGTCAGTTGGGTTTTCTTTTACTTATGATGCTCTT